CGCTTTGCATTTAGAGTGACCTACGATGACGGCGGAAAGAAAGTTGTGGATAAAAGTGCAACAATGTGCAAGCATTGTGCAACACGTTTTGTTTATGCAACATGACCAACATGTCATGCTAAAAATCAACATATACCGAACCGAAAACCGTGACCACGAAACCGTGAACCAAACTGAACTGTGGATTTTGTGAACCGTTCCACCCCTAGCATGTATCTATATTACATCCTTGTCTAGAGCGAGGAGCCAACTGCTCTCTGTCATCCCCACTCTTAACTCCCTGCATAACATTCCAGCATAGAGACTGCTTCTAAGATTAATCCAGACATCCAAATCTCCCGGAAGTTCCGGGAGTCTTCCTGATATTGATAGGTTGTTCACGGATGCCCGCGAGTCAGATAGATTATCCAGGCAATACAATAATTCATGCATCATATGTGGATTAGAACTACTGTGATTATCCAGAAAACAAGAGAGAGCGGAGTGGGGAAGAGGTTTCTTGTGAAACCTGCGCAGCGTATCTGTCCGCAGTAATGCTCTGTTCAACCCGCAGTCCAGGCTGGTTATCAGAGAGCTGATTGGATTAGTCAGAAAAATACAGTTTACTTGCTGACAGTCACCTATTTACCACTTAAAGCTGTCTATGTGTGCATGTATGGGGCATGGTGCGGGTCGCTTGTCTGAGGGGGGGGTACTACATGCGCCGCTTTGTTTGTAAAAATATAACCGAGGATGTCTCAGGGACCTACATGTTATGAATGCTGGCGTACCATAAAGAATAAATGATGAATGGGCAGAGAGGCAGAGGTGAATCTGTTGTGGATTTAACAATGACTTGACAGAAATCAGAGGCTGGTTATCCAAAAATCCTAAAGGAAAACAAAGTCCAAACAAACAAGAAACCAGAAGTCCAAAAATCAAAAAATCAAAAATATGAAAACAAGTCTAACGTACCAGAAACCATGGGGACATCAGGGCAATCACAAACATAACGAGGAAGGCACATAGAGAAGGAGTTGGAGCATGTAGACAGAGTTTGACGAGGACCCAGCAAAGGGGAACTGAACAGAGAGGGCTTTTTAAAGGAGACTGAGACAAAGAGGGGGCTAATGAGGAAACTGGGAGCAGGTGTGCACAGAACAAGAGAGGGAAAGAGCTAGGGAAGAAGGAGAACACAAGAGGGCCACAGAGAGCAACAAATAGAAACCTGGAAGACTGGAAATGACAACAAAATGATAATCAAATAACTAGGACTATAAAACATGGTGAAAAGAAAACTAAACACTAGAAATCAAGGAGTAAAGTAAGACTGAATACACAAAAGAAAAACATAACAGAAACCTAACAGTGCCTTCAAGTCGTTGCCCATAGGAAGACGTTACTTGGATATAACCTAACAGAATATCTTCAGAACGGCTCCAAATGACACAAAACTCATATGGGTGAGTAGAACATGATGTAATAACGGAAAAT